CATACATCTCGGAATCATTTAATTTTTTTCTGTTTCCTATGTAAAACCAATCAAGGAATCCAAATCCGAAGTTATTTTGGCCTAAATCGGCTTAAATCGCCCTAGATCTAAGTTTTTCTCCGACGGTTCTCGGTGATTTTCCGGCGATGTTTCACCGTTTCCGGCGACGACACTACCCAGAAAAGATTCAACTCGTTAAGTGCTTTCAAACCCTTCAAGTCTCAACCCAAACCGAGCTTCCGTTCGCCGGAAATCGGAAAAACTCCATGGCGGTAAAGGAGAAGGAAAACGATGAAGAAAAACTAAGAAAAGATGGAGAAACGGACCGACGGTGATGAAGCGGTGGCCACGGGGCGGTGGTCGATGGTCGACGACGAGTAAGGAGGTAAACCGGAGCAAAAATCTGGTTTTGGGCGAGCTAAGGTCGGCCATGGGAGGAGGAAGAAGAAGAAGAAAAGAAACCCTAGGCGAAATTGCACTCTGGACCTTCTTTTTTTAAAAATTTACAAAATTTGCCCAAACTTTTAATTCGTTCTGAAAGACCCTCACTGAAATAACAGATTTTTCCAAAACTTTTTAATTTTTATCACCCACCCCAATTCATTTTTTTTTTAAATTTTCGTTCGTTATACTTCTTTGATATTATCTCCCATTAAATCGATCTCATGCCATAAATCCCAAAATGTAAATCTCATAATCCAAACCATATAATAACCAATAAATCTAATAACATTTTTTTTGTGAACATATAAAATGGAACTATTAATTGGTCCATGTCTGTTGAAATACATTTTGAAACAGATAAAACAAATATTAGTGTTAGATTAAATCAGTGGATGCAAAACAAACACAAAGAAAACAAAAATCAATTAATTGCCATGAAAATTCATAGATGTCACACACATACATGAACAATGATTTATTTATAGATATCCTTTCAAAAATATAGATTTTAATATCAAATGCAAGCATATATAAAGCCAACACTTATTCTGGTTATCTACGAAATAATGAGAATATATTTGAAATGTTGACATAAAAATTGCAAGATTAATTTTTTTTTTTTTTAAAAAAAAGAGAGAGAGCAATTGATGAGTAAAATGGGTAAATCTTTATTACTTGAACGTGTTCCTCTAACTTTAGGTTTTGTTCTTCTTCGCCTCTTGTCTTTTCCTTGGCTCCGTGTTCATACTTCATCAAAGGATAAATTGATTCCATCACCCCTAACCCTCAAAATTACAAAATAACAACATCATAAAATCACAAATTCAAATAGGAGGAACAGTTTTTGGAAGTCGTTCTGCTTCAACATCATATTTTAAATCCTTGGAGCATTCAAGTTGTTCCTAAAAAAAATAATGCGTATGTACGTACTCATGCTATGAAAGGGAAGAAAAATTTTGGAACCAGTATTTTTTTTTGGTTAAAACTCAAGAGGCAAAAGTTATTATAGGAGAGTAGACCAAAAAGAAATTATCCAAATATATTGAACAACCTCTCTCTTAATAATTAATTTTAGTCTCCTTTAGTTTTGCTCCTCGAACTTAGTGCCTACTTTCTGCACAATATTGAATACGGTCATTAATCTTTGTAATCTCCCTCTCTTTGAATTGAGAAATTCAATTCGAAATTATGGTCAACAGAAGATTGATAACATTTATTTTATTTATAATTTCACATTTTATATTAATACATATATAATTAATAGTAGAAAATCTTTCACATTCTTTCTAATTGGACACGTGTCATTCCCTAGTTTAGTGAACTGGAATTTTATATATAATATGATTTTTTGATATTTTTCTTTTTCGGTATTTCTCTGTATTTATGTCTAGTACTATTGGTGACTAGGTTTTAACCCCACGCACATCGCGCGGTCTATAAATATGTATAATATTTTTAAAAATATTATTAATTTTAAAATTAAATATATTATATTTTATTTTTTGATTTTTAATTTATATCTTAAATAAAATGATAAATTGTTTTTAAAATATTGAGATAATGATATAATTTATTTTTTAAAAATAATTATGAATAACATCTATATTTATATTTTTGTGTTATAATATAAAATTAAAGTGTAAAACATAATTTGGTTAGCTTAACCGGTAAAATAGAGACCCAAAGTATCTCTTCCGTCTTGAATTCGAGCCTCAAGTTGACGAGGATAACACATATTCTAATTACATACTTTGCTCCATGTTCCGAAATTAGTCTGAGTCTCGGCTCAGAACATCCGGTTATCTAAAAACAATTAAGGGTTGAAGTCGTATATTTAGAAAGAATTTAAAAAAAAAAATCTGAACTATTAATTTTTTTAACGTTAAAAAAGAGAATAAAAAAGTTTTATATTGTTAAATCAAAATGATATTATTTTTAAAGTGTTAAGATAGTATGTCTGTGTTCTTGTAACCTTTCTCTAATACAAAAAAAAATTCAATCTCTTTTAATTTAACGAAATTATCATTTTGTACTGTCTCTTTTTTTAAAATATGAAAACTTTTATGTGACATCTTTAAATTTCAAAAATATTTAAATAATAATTTTGTAGAAAATAATATAATAATAATAATATTCATGCGAAACTTTACTAATAATAATGCAAAATGAGTTGTTACAATATTAAATTGCATCATCTTAGTAGACGTTCATGTGAATTACGACGACGATTCACTTCTCAATCCGGTTAGAAAATATAAATTGAAATTAATTTTAACTATTTATTTTTTTGTCTAAAATATAGATATATTTCCTTTCTAAATCCACATCCATTGTGATATAATGTTTTTGACATATAGGTGGTTCTTAAACAATTTTTTTATAATAATTTAAAATTTATACCTTTTATATACTATCCATGGTTAGTTTATAGACAAATATTGTTTTTGTAAGTTCCACCAATTTATCTGTAGGATTTTGGTAGAATTTATTCATGACATTACAATCTCATATATAAGAGATTTGATATCATTTATATTCCCACATATACTATTTTAAGACTCTTGACAAATTATATGTATATACATAAATATAGTGGTAATGACATTTGGATATATTGTAATCCGTAAATACAATAATAGAATGTGTTTTTTCCATTTATCCAAAAATTTTATTTTTAATTTGTATTAAAAAAAATACAATATATAATTTAATTCTAATCAGAATGTAGCATTAATACCTTATTCTTGGTATACATATGATGTGTATATACATATGTATAGTGATATATTTATATTTAGTTATTTTATCTATTTATGTTTATAATATTTTATGTATTTATTTATGTTTTACTTTTTCCTATCACATCCAATCGCAATTAATTTTGGTGCATAGTAAACTTAATCTCAAACACACAATGCATGTATATGTTCAGCACTATGTATATGTACAATTTTGAAATATGAGAATTATTTAGATAAATACATGATTTTATTATTTAAGAAAGTGAAAATTTCCAAAAAAAAATCAATTTCTTATATTCTATCAGATTTAACAAAAAAATCCCCGTTTTTTGAATTATTTTCAAATTAATATCTACGACAAAATGACGTTAAATTACTGTTTTCAGATCCGATGTGACATTATAAGTTATGTCACATTAAACAAATTTCATTGACAAAGAAATTTACCAACCGGAAATCTATATACAATTTAAATTCGATGTTACATAAATAAATAAAAATCAAATCTACATTCTTCTTGGAGAGAATTCAAACAGAAGAAGTTGCATTTCTCCAACAAAGTCTTCTTTTTCTTAATCTTTAGTTGATCCATAGCTCTCTCTTTTTTTGTTCTTTTTTCTGATAATTTTTATCTATTAAAAGATTATACAATCCTTTGATTCTCTGAAAAAAGCCCACGAAATTAAATAATTATATAGTAAATGATGTCACATGGAAAACACTCGGTTTTGACTTTTAAATTTCTAAATTAGAGAATTTGTCAATGAATATATAGACATATTTGAGGTTTGATTTCAACAAATCAGTTATTTTTTAATTATTTTTGAAGATACAATCAAATACGGATCTAGATAAGTAGAAAGTTGTGAAATAATTCACCAAGAAAAGCACTCGACATGTGTAGATATAGATTCTTTACATATCAAATTTTATTGTACAATCAAAATTCCATTAAAAAATAATGTAAAATAATGAAATCCACATGAGAAAAATTCATTCAAAACCGAGAAGAGAGATTTCATAAATAACCATATGATAAAGACATTTTAATAGAAACTCGTATTTGAGTAAAACTCGGAAAATAGAAGAAAGAACGGAAGAAACATTGGAGAGTAGACTTGCTTAGTGTTTGCTTAACTAAAAATTTTCTACAAATATCCTTACAAATCACTTTCCGCAAAAAATCTTTTCACAGAAGATGAAATTTTTCGAAAAATCTTCGGAGAAAACGAAAGATTCCCATGGATCACAAAATAAAAATCCGATCATAGATAAAAAAAAAAACGTATAGGAATTTAAATCTACACATATTTATATACATGTCAAAGATTTAGTTCATACAAAATAAGAGAAACATGTAAAAAAATATAATAAAATCGAATTACATATCTAAAACAATATTTTTTTTTATAACGGAGCGTCCTGGGCCGAAGCCTAGACTAATCTCCGGACCGGGAGCAAGCCATGTGCTTTGAAATATTCGCTCCCCTCCCCACCCTGGGGCTCGAACTTGGGGCGGGACAAGTGCTTTGCACCCCCGTTTCACCAGTTGAGCTACTCAGGATGGGTTATCTAAAACAATACTGGACCTTTGATCTTAAACATCTTAAAACACCAAATCGTCTGATGTGATAATGGTGTTGCTGATGGAAAGATGGAAAACTACGTCATTTATAGTTTAGAATTTATGAATTAAATGATTAATGTTCAATGTATGTATTTATTATTTACACTAAAAACTATAAATAAATTTAAAACTATATTTGTAAAACATAAAAATTAATTGAATCTAATTATTTTATACATAAAAATCAATAAACTTTAAATTAATAAGTTAATATTTTACATATTGTATTTTTAATCAATCTACAAAGATATACATTTTCATCCGAAAGGAGCATGTCCAAACTGATCAACATACCATCCTGTTTGATGTTCTTCGATTCCCAAAAACGGATCAAACGGACAACAATTTGTCACCGACTATGACTTCTGTCTAGATCATCCAATGTCGAATAACAATATTTTTCTAAACCAAAGATTATGGAAAAAAAATAAATGATTACGATTAATTTTTGGTTGTGTTATGTGACACCCGAAACCCGTATCCCGCAATACGAGTTGCGTCACATGGACAAGTAAAATAAAAATCGCATTTCCAAAAATCCGCGGGAATTTAAAACTTTTATTTTTAGAGTTCAGCGGAAGAAACTTTCTTACATACATATACGGTACATTATTCCAGTTA